CTACTAGTAACAAGTGCCACGCTACTATTCTAATAGCTTTTTGTTACTACTAGTAAGGCACCTGTTACTACTAGCGTGGCACTTGTTACTAGTAGAAACAAGAAGCTAGTGGAAACGTCGTTTGCTTTTGGAAACGCGTTCTGACTCTCAAAGGTCCGATCGACAAGTGGGACGCTCACTGTACCGATCTTCCAGAAACCAGATGGTGCAAGGCCAGACATGACAAAAAACGAAAGAAGAAACACAGAAGTCTTGTGGACACATCTCAACATGTCTTGACTATCTTGACTTTCTCAACATGTTTTTTCAGGTACTACACGTCTCCTTTAACTTCGAAGCGTGTCGCTATACCGTGAGCAGAGAGCAATAATTTTCCTGGCACTTACTGCAACTTCGGCTTGTACCGTTAGACAGGCAGTATTCACCTGAAACTGTTGGAGACGTGTTTATAAAACATTACTAAAGGAATGTCGAAGCCTCCTTTGCAGTGGCCAAAACAATAGCGCTGCGGCATCGCAAAAAAAGTCAAGAGACCGAGACCTTAATACAGAGAAGGCCAGGCAGATTGCTCTTGCCCAGACTCTTTCAACCTGTGCAGACTTATATACTTTCCTCTGGGAAAGGGGATTACAGTGAGGGGACATCTGTGGACAAATTCTCCAGGGACTTAGGGTGGACTCTCCACTTGACAGAAACGAATGCATTAGAGCTCAGCTTCTTTTGTTAGCCGAGTGCATTTTGATGCGTTTTTTTCTTGGCCTGCCTTTGCCACCGGTTGCAACCTCAAAAGCAGGCCCTACCCCTACCCTGCATGTTCGAAGGACTTTATGCAACATCTCTTGCGGGTGTCTGCTTTTCGGCCTTTGCTACCTCTCCTCTTAGCAACACTTTCCTACCCTTCACGCTTTGGAAACACCGTCAGCGCCTCCTGGTTCTCAGAGTCAAACGTTATATTTTCAAGAAACATGCCGCACATCAAATCAAGACAACATTACATTGCATGGGTTATGCCTAGAGTTGCTTCGAGGCCAAGGTAACTTAGACCGCATAGAAGGCATGGCGAACGGACGCGGAACAGATCCGACAGTTCGATATCTTGCTAAGGCCGCAGGCTGTATGAAATGGAAGTTTAGAAATTAGTACGAGTCATACAGAATGATATTATATATATATATTTTATATGTCACATACACACATTGAGTACTTACAAAGCAGCTGAAGACGGTACATTGTGACATAGAATCATTTGACGGGTGATTACACGGAAGTAATTGCTGCAGTGTGGAGCTGTGAACGCGTGGCCTTTACGTTACTTTAAATCATACCTGAAAGACAGAAAGTAAGAAGAACGGTCTAAAGGTCTAAAGAAAAGAAGGACACCACACACATGGCATTGATACTTGCTATTAGAATTCACAGTGCCTTTCTGCAGCCTCGGATTCTTACCGTGAAAGCAGCTACAACAATAGGGAACCGATGGCAGATCCTGCGGCAGCCTTAAGAATGCTACAGTGCTTTGCAAGGACCTAAGGAATTCCAGTCAGATAATGGTAACAAGTGCATCGCTACTAGTAGCATGGGCATTACTACTAGTAACAGGGCTATCGCTATTATATAGTAGCTATAAGCTACTAGTAACAAGTGCATCGCTAGGGTCAGGGGATTCTGGAGTAGAACAGTGCGAAACGACACGCTGAGGCACCGCGACTGAGAGGCTGGACATGGGAAGGGGCCGAGTTGTCAATGTATTACATGTATCAAGTGGATTCTCTAGTAGTAACAAGTAGCTTCAAGGGCATCACTACTAGTAACAAGGTGCCGTACTACTAGTAGCTATTGCGTTTGCAGGTCTTCAACCGTAGCCTCGATTGGATCAACGTATGACTTCAGCAAGGCATACCATTCCATGACCAATCCACACACTCAAAACCTTTGAAATTGTGGAGAATGAGAAAGTGTAAAGTCGACAGGTTGGACTCCAAAAGCTTTACCGAAAAGTGTAAGAACCCCGCGCTGACTTGTCATGAGTTGACGCTGCGTCACAAACTGGAAACCAAACTCAATAAACTTGTGAACATATTCTTTGATGCTGGGAGACCCTTTGACAGCTTTTGATTTGGCATCATTCTATCAACTTGTTTTCCGCAATGGATGATGCCAAAGCGGCAGCCGACGGGATTTTGGACTCCCTGAGACAGTTGGTGACTCTCGGCAAAGCACGACGACACAAGGAACAATGAAAGGCCGGCTTTTTTGATCTGCCAAAGGGCAGAGACTGCATATAGAATCCTCACGAATGTCGGTAGACACTGGAAAATAGGGCGAGGAACGATAAGAACTAGACCGAAAGAGCAACAAGGATTGGGCAATGGACATTTGGGTAAATGGTATCAATTAGTGCCAAAAGCGCCAACGTTGCCAATGGCGTTTCGTTGGCCGTTAGGTGCAAGGCCATGTAAGGCATGTAAGGCCTAATGTCTTGGATTCCATCTCAATACGAATGCAGCGGACGCACTCCACAAATTAGGCACGGACGCACTTGCAAGATCTTGAGAGGTTTTCCTTCTCTAGCAGGATGGAGGCCATCTTCATTAGTTTATTTTTGCTATTAGGTTGGAGGCCAAGGGCCATTGCTATTAGTTTTGAGTTTCCTTAATTGCACTTATATAATTGCCCTTTGTTTGGCTTTCATCTACTCACGGCCCTAGGCCCTTAAGACTTGGACTTGACTACTGGAAAAGACATTAACTGTGAATCAATGACATAGATGTTCTCTTAAAAACCTTAGGTTACCTTGAGTCCATCGAAATGCCATCGAATGCTCAAAACCACTGTCTACAGATGTCTACAGAATTTCTTCGACTTCTTGCATTTTTGACGTTCCTGAGGAATGCTATGGCATCACTGGTGCCAAGTAGCGCTGGCCGTACTTGTGCCACTGACGCTGTGGATGCACGATCTCTGCCGGCTTTGACCAAGGACAACAATCTGAACACTTTGCTCGCTGTCATTTGCTGTCTAATCCACAGTTTTTCTTCAGAATGGGATCGCATCTGAGCATGGACAAGTGGGTGACAGGTGTCTAATAGTGTCCAGTATGTTTCATTCTTCCTATGCACAGGCCTTGAGGCGGCTCTGGTTTGAGACACACCTTGAGGCCTTTGGTTCACTGCTTTGCTTGATTTGGAGTGAATTGTAGCTTCGTCTTTTGAACACATTTAACAAAGGGAGATCTTTGGTCAGGCAACCGAGGACTGGTGCGAAGAGAAGCAGGCCATTTGGCTTAGTTGCTTGGCTCACACGTCTCACAACACCTGGAGCTTCAATGTAATTGGTCAGTGTTGCAGCTGGAAAGCTGAGCAAAAACAAGTTCGTGCACGTTTGCTCAAGATGACTCCCTCCAACTATTCAACTCCAAATCCGAAAGTTTGTTGTGTAGCAGAAACAATCAAATTTGGTTGCTTCATTGCTTCATGTTGCTTCCAACGTCTTTTCTGGCGGCTAGACGTACTTGAAGAATCTTGAGGTGAATCAAGTAGCGTGGCACTTGTTACTAGTAGCGATGCACTTGTTACTAGTAGCGAACCTCAAATATCGGCGAAAGACTTGAGAACGTCCGAAGGATCCCTCGAGCGATGGCCTCCAACCTAGGGCAATGACCTTCAACCAACCTAATAGGGATGGCCTCCAACCTAGAATCACTTAAGACAACGCCCGGCTTCACCGTACATCTCACACCTCAGATGCAGAAAAGGGTCAAAAAAGGTCAAAAAGATCCTCCGGACAAAGCAGCATCTTGCTGTTTTGACCTCTGCTCCGCTTTGCATCTTGCTTTGTCTAGGTCAATTGCTGCTGATTTTGGCTGGGTCCAGAGAAGCTGTGCTCTCCTTCTATGCTGCAGGCTTGTTACTGTGGCCCAGCTTAGCGTTTTCAGGGTAAAGGTGACAACGTTGCACCGAGGTTACAAGCATTGCACTACCCTTGCACTGAGTTTTCTTCTGTGTTTTCTTTCGAGATATTTCGTGAAAGCCTGCAAGTGAACATCAGACTTGATCAGAATCGCTATGAACCGCTATGAATCACTGAACGGGCATCCAAGGTGCAATTCCTTGCTGTGCTTTGCGAAGGTTTTGTATCCCCATGTGGCCCAGCTGCATCAGTTGGTGGTGTTCAACTGTTCTTTTTCGTGTTAAACCAGGAAATGGGCCGTAGGAGGCCATCGCTAGTAGGTTGGAGGCCATCGCCAGGATACCATTGGCCAAGGAGCAGTTCTCTCGCGGCTAGTCTTTGTTACTAGTAGCTTCTTGTTCCTAGTAGTAAGGCCAGGAGCCCCTAGTAGCGTTTTTGTTCCTAGTAGCGATGCCCTGTATTACTATGTAACACATTCCACATCTGATGTGAGTTCTGTGATGTTCCGACCGATACTATTCGGTACTCGATCCGTGCAAACGATCCAGTTGTGTCTTTCCATGCCCGCCAGGTGGGCATGGAGCCCGACGAGGCCTGGTGCCAAGGCCTTGCCGCTGTCCAGACAGCTCTAGAAAGTATCCTGGCTGCCCAAATGCTAGAGAACCAAAGTTTCATGAATGTGAAGTCATGCTTGAGCCCCTAGTAGCGTCCTTGTTCCTATAGTAGCGATGCCAGGAACCCCTAGTAGCTTCTTGTTCATGACTCCAAAAATCATGCTTATTGGACTGCCAAGCCAGCGCTAAGGGGACTTCCAAGAGGAACTCCAATACCTACCCGCAGACCACCTCGGTGGGAGCAAGCGTGATGCCATTGTCTCAACAAACCGATCCTTGGAATGTTGGCACTTGCACTGCACACAAGAGCATGTTTGATCCTGATTCCACGGTTGCAAGCTGATTTTTTTGGATGTCCTGCATTGCGACTTGGACGCCCTCCCTCAAGTTCTGCATAGTCTAGTTGTTTGTCCAACAATCACCAAACCCGGAGAACTTCTCAGCGAGAGTCGTATGTGTGTATATATTATAGTTTTATATAGTTATAAGTTAAGTTATATACATGATTATATATATAGAATGAATGATACAGGCCACATTCAATATTAATTCTCTTTTTTCTCTGTCCAAGATGGAAAGGCCCCAATCGGTATCACGTACCATCTCAATGACAAACATCGCCTTTTAAATCTGGTCCCAGTGGACCGTCAGGACGTCGGGAATTAAGACGGATGATTTGTTCCTAGTAGCGTCCTCTTGCTCCTAGTAGCGATGCCAGGAGCCCTTAGTAGCGTCCTTGCTCCTAGTAGTAAGGCCAGGAGCCCCTAGTAGCTTCTTGTTCCTAGTCAGGATTGAGACTCAGATTGGATTTGTCAGGATTGCCTGCTCTCTTCCGACGGATGTTTGACCTCGAAGGGCACAAGTTGACGCCAGCACAGTGCCTTTGAAGGAACTCTGACAGGAGTTTTGACATCAAGTGTGCTGCAGTATTCAATATGCCAGAAGGGCAACATTGTACCTGCAAAACATGACATTGCTGCTGGTGTGACTCTGATGGCCTTTTATTGCCGTATGGGTTTCTTTGCTTGTATGCGATCAAGCCAAGCTGAACAGGAAAGGTGGACTGGCTGTGGCACTTGTGGTACCTGGAACTGGACTGATAACAGCCGGGGGCATTGGTACAGCTTTACTGCTGCGAAAGGCAGCGGGCGGGACCCGCGTTTGGACTTACTTGTGTTTATTTGCTGATTCTAAGCAGTCGAAATCAGTCGAGCAAACGTGGTGTATGCTTGCAATTCGGAAACATGTGCAAGCGATCGTATGCTGAAACTCTCCGGAAGACCCACTGGAAGACCCTTATTCCATTTGAGCTTGCTCGTGTCAAGGCATGATCTCTTAGGATTTCCCTGGGTTTGAAGCTGTCACAACCACTGTGGCGGACCGCAGATGGCTAGCGAAAAGAATTAGAATGCTTTCCGAAAGGATTGAATGTTTGCATGGAAGTCTTGAAGCTGTGCGGATGATGTGGCCCCTTTTCCTGGGGCTCCAATAGGATGTTCCCCTGGAAAGCCGACATGTATCTGGTTTGTATCATTTTTTATCCCTCAAGCCAGAGACGCTAAAAAGTGCAAACACACTCTTTGCTGGTGGAAGTTGTTGGAACAAATGCCCTGGAAGTCACCCGGATTGCGAATGCTTGGAGCAGACAGTAAGGCGAACAGAGCGCCATCTATTGCAAGATCCCACTTTGCTCCGACACGTTGATCGCTTGCCATGACACAAAACACGGGAAATTGAAGAAAAGGACAGGTAGGACGTGAGCTATCCTGCGTCCAGTAGGTAGGTAGGTGCCTACTTAATTAAGGGAGGGCAATGGGCCTAAAAATGGTTCAAACAAGTGTCATAAAACACCCTTTGCCGCTGGTTCAAAGCATTCCCAAGCTGTGACCAGGCCCGCCAGGCTGGATCAGAAGATGACCCACTGGAGCGCCTCTTTACAAAGTGCTTGGAGGAGGCAGACAGCTTGACCTTTGCTATGCTTGGCTTCTTACAAAATGGACATTTGTTCATTTCATATCGTTGTCAAATTTGATAGCAATAGTCTTCAGCCTGCCTTTCAAAGCATCTCCAGGCTAAAATTGCAATTCGTCGCAAGTTAAATCCAATTGAATCTCGGCTAGGCTTGCTGAGAGCAAGTCCAATCGTTAGACTTGTCCTTTGTCGATTTAGGACATATATGTGATGTGTGTTAGCCACATCCAATGCGGCAGACACCCTTGCTACGCAACACACTTGAGGAAGGAAGGAATGCAACGGTGGGGATTCATCCATGATCCCGCCTTTCAGTCCCTTTTCTTTTTTTTACCACTGCGTAGGCAGTTTGAGCGCAGCCAAGCCTAGCCCTGTTTACAAGGGAAACGGAGAGCTCGTCATGTCATCAACTCACAGCACCACATAATATCACACATACTTAAAAGGCATATATGTTCTTTTTCAATGACTGATAAAAGAAGTCCTAGAAGAAGAACAAAGAGATGAAACAAAGAGATGAAAGCCGGCAAGATAAAACCTCTTTAAAGGGGGAGCACAAACCCTTTTGCATCATCCCTTTTGCATCCCTTTTGCATCGACTTCTTTCACTCACCAAATCTAAGGAAGTGACATACCTGCATGGCGCAGCAAAAGGCCCCTCCAAGGTGAAAGTGTGTGTCCAAGCACAAGAGCTACTTGGACAATTGAGACTCACCAATGAATTTACTTTCAATAACAAAGATGAAGCGATGGCCTCCAACCTAATAGCAATGTCCAGAGACTCTCCACGATTTTCCTTTCAAGAACACAATGGGAAGACCTCTTTTTTTGGTGGGGTGGGGGCACTGGGCATCGTAACATTTTGTGACGGCACACAGAAGGTCAGCTTCCTTAATGGGAAGGACTAAATTATGGTACCAAGGTCACAGAAAAAGGACAGAGAGAAGGTCTTCCTCAGATTAAATCCACGTCGAATCTAGATGAAAACAGAAAAGAGAGTTTCCTTGAAGAAGCTTCGCAGTAGACAACGAGATGAAGGTTTGCATTTATAGGTCTGGGACCCTACCAGCGGCTACTCCATGCGACCTTGAACAACAAGCATCTTACTCGTATGATTGTCGCGGGAACAGAACCTTGAACCTTCGTTTTTCTTCAATTCTGCATCTTATTACTTACAAAAAACCGTTGTTCTACAAACAAGAACGCGAACCGTACCACCTTCCGCATTGAGACTTCTCTAGTTTTCCATTTGCCACAGCGTCCCAGGTCCCTGGTTCCACATGTGCTGCACAGCTGCAAGATGCAAAGCGTTGCGAAGTTGAACACAACAAGTCGTGGATCTCGGGTCTCGAGTATCAATGAACAGCCTGCAACTAGGAAGCGTTCATCATATCCTGAGGCCATTGGGAAGCCTTGGACAGCACGGGGCCCCTTGGTTGCAACCCTGAAACCATCGACAAGCACGTACAGATGGAAGAAGTGAACTGTTGCATCAGACAATGCGCCATGAGGTGAACACTGCGATTCTGGAGTTGGGGCAAAGCTGCCAACTGCGACCAACTGGATCCGATGTCATCATTCTGCGGGCACACGGGTGAATGCGGGTTGGACAAGACTTTGCAAGAAAAGGCTTGTTCAAATAGACTGCAACAGAGCAGATTGACAGGGGGACTTGAAACAGGGCTCCATCAAAGCTTGCCATGAAGCAACTAATCGCAAGAGTTGTGAACACCAAGCCTTTGGCTAGCAGGCTAAAGTTATCTAAAGTTAAGAGGCTGGTTGGACTTGGAGATGTTTTGGTTTGCTTTCTACCTTGGTTCGATTCAGTGCCCCCCACACCCTCTCTATGCTGAGAGCAGAAGTAGGTAACTAGGCAAACTACGGAAAGTTGGAACCAGAAAATCATAATGGATGAGCAAAAACACGTTATTGTTTCATTTTCTTTCCACAACCGTTGACATTGATTTCCATTTCCTACTACCATGAGCATATTTGCTAGGGCCTTGGGGGCAAAAAAAAGGCAACGAGTGCCTTCGTTGCCTGCGCAGGTCTTTCGGCCTTCCCTCATCAATGAGCCCATACATGAGGCTGTTGAGGCCATCGCTATTAGGTTGGAGGCGGCAAAAAATTGTGTTCTACTGTACTTTGTTTTGCCGTTGAGGTTTGGCGTGGTGCGAAGGTGATCTTAGTTCCCAACGAGGACGGCCTGGTGAAGTGCTATGTGCGGAATCTGGGACCCAATGACTATCCAGATCATTTCAGATCTATGAATTAGTACAACATGATGTTTGTAACAAATTTGGAATAACAATCTCACGAAAAGTTGGTTTGGAAGAATTTTCCAGAGAGGCTCTTGTGCTTTGAATCGCCCAGGAAGGAAAGGACTTCGACAAAGACCGGAGCTTCGCCCAGTGGATATGCTGATGGGACGCACTAACCAAGCATCATGCAGGACTAGACTAGACACAGCAAGTTTGCGGAGGGTGCGCAATTGCAGCAGACCATTGCTTTTGGTGAAGCATCCCAAGTGTGGCTATCCAGTTATTCCTGACTAGAAAGAGGCGAGTTGTCCATTGGCTCATTGTGAGCCCAAAGAAGGACTCAAAATGACTTTTGTGGAGAGGACTCCAGTCAAACTTCTATGTCCTATTTGGACATTGGGTGAGAGAAGCGTCCAAAGGTCTACAAACCTCTCAGCCATTTTCCACAGCATAATGCTGGCTTGCAAGATCATAAACATGAACACCGCGTGCGCTGCGAGTCTGCGAAGGAAACAAATCAAAGCCACTGAAGCTACGAACGGGGCTCCTGGCCTTACTACTAGGAGCAAGGACGCTACTAGGGGCTCCTGGCATCGCTACTAGGAGCATTCTTACTACTAGTAACAAGAAGCTACTAACCTCTGATGAAACCGATGGCCCTTTATGGCCCTATGAAGAAAAGCTTAGGGGGTTGGAAGGAGTCGACTTAGTCAAAGGCCCCCCCTCCTGGCTGAATCTGCTGGTTGTATAATTTTTGTCATTTCGATAATTTTGAATCTCGATTCTTTTGAGGTACTTGTAGCAGACCACTAGTGTGGAAATAACCCCAATAGTTTGAGGGGTCTCAATAAATTGCATCGCTAACCGCTAACCCGTTGGTTCAAGGCACCAGCCTCTGCAAACGACCGCCTCAGTTGAGGCACTGAACCCCTTCATAGAGTTCGTGCCCAGAATTGGGCGAGCGAGAATTGGCTTTTGGCGCCACTCGCGTGTTTGGGAATTTTGGGTCAATGGCTCATGACTGATAGCAAGTGTAGTAGCAAGTCAAATCCCCCCAAACGAAGCACAGCAGAGACAGAAGACACAGCACTGCCAAAAAACAAGTGAGAATACTTTGATATCGAGATCCGGCGCTAGTAGACTCTTTTTCGCAGACTCTTTCATGGATCTTCGCTCACGTGGCCACCGTAGGCAGTTATGGACATGAAGGCGACTCTGGGGATACCAACGGATTCCAAGTATGAACGAACCGAGTTGACACCTTTCTGAGAAATCGAATTGAATGAACTATTTTGCCATTAGGGTGGAGGCCATCGCTATTAGGTTGGAGGCCATGGCTATTATTATGTTGGAAGGCAATGGCTATTAGATTGGAGACAATTTCTAGTAGGTTGGAGGCCATCGCTAGCAGGTTGGAGGCCATGGCTATTATGTTAGAGGCCATCTAGTAGGTTGGAGGCCATGTAGTAGGTTGGAGGCCATTGCTAGTAGGTTGGGGGCCATCGCTATTAAGGTCATCGCTATTGGGTTGGAGGCCGTCGCGATCAGGTTGGAGGTCATCGCTATTGGGTTGGAGGCCATCACTATTAGGTCTCAGGGCCTCACTATTAGGTTGGAGGCCATCGCTAATAGGTTGGAGGGCCATCGCTATTAGGTTGGAGGCCATTGCTAGCAGGTTGGAGGCCATCGCCGATCGCTAGTTGGTTGGAGATCATCGCTAGTAGGTTGGAGGCCATCGCTAGTAGGTTGGAGGCCATCGCTATTAGGTTGGAAGCCGTCGCTATGAGGTTGGAGGCCATCGCTATGAGGTTGGAGGCCATTGCCGTCAGGTTGGAGGTCACCGCTATCAGGTTGGAGGCCATCACTATTGATGTTGGAACTTGATTCGTAAAGGGCCCCCCCTCAAACAAATGGAGGATCCTCTTTAATAAACTACCACCAAAACAAATCTGGGTTCCTAGGAGGATTCCTTTTGTAGTTGATTGTAGTATTCATTTTCCTTTTTTCTGCTTGTTTGTAATCAGATATTCTCAGCAATACTATTTTTCCTTTTCATTAGGTATTCTTTGGCATCCTTTCATACTACTACATAAAGGATTGATTAGGGAATTGATGGCTTTGGGAAGCTGTGAGTTTTGAAGAAGAGCTATAGAAACCTATACTTATCAATACTCTCAGGCAGCCAATCATTGGCTTAGTAGTATTAAGAACTACTATGTCTATTTTTCTAAAGGAAATATAACCAACCCTAAATATGTCCCCAACAATTAGCATAATAGAGGACCCTTAAAACAAACAGGGCGTCAAGAATTATTTTTCAACATTCAGCATTATAGAGGGCTCTATTACTAATCAGCATCCAACATTAGGGTGGAAGGCTATCGCTGTTAGGTTGGGGGCCATCGCTATCAGGTTGGAGGCCATCGCCATCGCTAGTAGGTTGAAGGCCATCGCTAA